CTCTGATACCATGTTGTCACGACCCAAAATCCATTAAAGACCGTGATGGCGCCGGACACCGCTTTCAAGCAAGCCAACAATAATTAATTAATTTGGTTCTCATTTTAGTAATTTTGAAAGCATAATTTCCTTCAATTACTAAATAGTAAAAGATGGAATTTACAGAGTAAATAATAATGTTATAACAATTTCAATACTGAACAAACCATAATCACCCCAAAACCCGGTGTCACGAGTGCGTGAGCCTCAACTAGGAAGATAAAATAAAGTACAACATTTGTCCGGAATACAAATTAGACAGGAAAATACATAAGTAACTCTGAAGGAGACTCTGCTGGCTGCAGATCGTAATATGGAAATGCAGCTCACCTAAGTCCCCGCAAATAACCACGCCTCTGCTCTCACAGGGCCACTAGACACATATGTACCTGCACAAAATTGTGCAACAATTGTAGTATGAGTACTTAAATCAATGCGCACCCAGTAAGTATCCAGTCTAACCTCGAAGAATAGTGACGAGGAGTCGACTCCGACACTTACTATGGACTAACAATAAACTGCCGGTATATTATTTAAGCATGGAATACATAACATGGCTAAAAATTTAATAATCGGAAACAATCAACAGTTCTTTTACTAATAGAAATTTGCCAACTTCATCTTTCATCATTTAACAATTTATATCTCAAGCTAATAAAGCAAAGTCAATTATTATTAGTTCCAAGGAGTTACCATGCGCAAATCATGTCGAGGTTGTACGGCCCGATCCAACATATAAATATAAAACATGCACTGCCAAGGGTCGAACGGCACGAACCATAGATGCATCTATTTAACCTGCCGAGGCGAATGGTCCGCTCCCATGAGAGTAGTGGTAATTTACCCCGCTCGCGGAATATATTTGTGACGCGGTTGCACATAGATTTCTCAATTATTATTATTATAATATTCTTTAGTTCTTTTCAAAAGTACGAAATTCAAATGAAAACTTTCAAGTCCCGAAATCCTCAATTTCAACTCTTTTCAAGGCATTTAATAAGCATACTCGATCTCAATTCCTTTCAAGGCAAATAATAAATAAAATCAAACAACGGTATCAACAAGGCGTGGTGTAAACCTAGATCTACCTGGACATAGGCATAATTAGTAGCTACATACGGACTCTCGTCACCTCGTGCGTACGTAGCCCCCGCAAATAGAAGCACATATTAATTTAGTTCACCTATGGGGTTAATTCCCTCTAACAAGGTTAGAAAAGAGACTTACCTCGCTCCGAAATTCCATAATCGGCTCCCGAGCCCTTCCAACAACTCACCCTCGGGCCCACGTGCCCGGATTCCGAATCTTTCGAAGATAAACTTTACCCATAGCATCACAAACTCAAATATATAATTTATTCTCAATTCCATGCCCAAATTCGTGATCAAAATCCAAAAATACCAATTTCTAGGTTTTCTATCAAAAATCCCAATTTCTACTAATTTCCATGTTTAATTCCTCATACAAACCATGTATTCAACTTATAATAAGTGAGAACCACTTACCTTGTGTTGCTCGATGAAAATCTCCCTTTGAAGCTCCCCAAAATCGCCCCAACCAAGTGAAAAATGGAAGGAAATGGGTCAAGTCCCCGTTCTTAAAGAACCCTTCTGCCCAGCGACTTCTCGCACCTGCGGTCACTTGACCGCTTATGCGGTTCCGCAGGTGCGGCAAATATTCCGCTTCTACGGAGATGTCCCCAGCTGCCCGCTTCCACTTCTGCGCCTTTCCTTCCGCGTCTGCGCCTTCGCAGGTGCTGACATTCCCTCGAACCTGCGGTCCTACCCACATCGCTTATGCGACCCTCCTGGCCGCTTTTGCGGCTCCACACCTGCGGCCAAAACCTCTCAGGTGCGGTTACACCAGATAACAGCAGCCCCAACATTGTTCCAAGCCCGAACTCGATCTGTTTGCCATCCGAAAATCCACTCGAGGCCCTCAGGACCTCAACCAATTATACCAACACATCCCAAAACACATTACGAACTTAGTCGATCCTTCAAATCACATCAAACATCATCGAAATCACGAATTGCAATCCAATTCAAGCTTAATGAACTTTAGAACTTCAAATTTCTACATTCAATGCCGAAACCTATCAAATCACGTCCGATTGACCTCATATTTTGCACACAAGTCATATTCGACATTACGGATCTACTCCAACTTTCGGAATCAGATTCCAACCCCAATATCAAAAAGTCCACTCCCGGTCAAACTTCTCAAAAACCTTCAAATTTCTAACTTTCGCCAAATGACCCCGAAATGACCTGCGGACCTCCAAATCCACATTCGGAGGCGCTCCCAATACCAGAATCACCATACGGAGCTATTTCCAGACTCGAAAATCCCAAACGAACATCGATAACATTAAAATACACTTCCACCCCAAATTTATAAAATCCTTCCAAATGCCAACTTTCCACAATAGGTGCCGAAATGCTCCTGGGTCATCCAAAACCCGATCAGGACATGTGCCCAAGTCCAAAATCATCATATGAACCCGTTGGAAACTTCAAATCCCGATTTGAGGTCGTTTACTCAAAAATTTAACCTTAGTCAATTCTTCCAACTTAAAGCTTCCAAAAATGAGAATTTTCTTTCCAAATCAACTCCGAACTTCCCGAATTTCAATTCCAACCATGCGTACAAGTCATAATACCTGAAGTGAAGCTACTCATGGCCTCAAACTGTTGAACGACGCGCTAGGACTCAAACGACCGGCCGGGTCGTTACACCAGAGGTGATGACCCATAAGCTAAATGGGGATTGATGACTCATAAGCTAAATGGGGATCCATTACACCCACCTGTCAAGCAAAAGAAAAGGAAGTAGGGGTCCTTAAAAAATTAAGTAATCCAGGATGAGGTACAAAAACTTCTGAAAATTAGTTCAATACGAGAGGTAAAGTACCCTGACTGGTTAGCTAATACTGTTTTGGTTCCAGAAAAGAATGGAAAATAGCGAGTGTGTGTAGATTACACTAATTTGAATAAAGCTTGTGCTAAAGATTAATTTCATTTACCACACATAGATTAGTGATTCTACCACATGAGCTTTCAAGTTTTTTAGATGCTTATTCTGGTTATAATCAGATAAAAATGGACCCTTTAGATGAGGAAAAAACCTCATTTATCATAGACAGGGGGACTTATTGCTACAAAGTCATGCCATTTGGTATGAAAAATGCTGGAGCCACATACCAGAAATTGGTGACCAAAATATTTCAAGAACACCTGGAAAAAATTATGGAGGTCTACATAGACGATATGTTGGTTAAAACAACACAGGCAGGGGATTAACATTTGGATGAGAACTTTGAAATTCTCCGTGAGTACAACATGAGGTTGAATCTAGAAAAGTGCGCTTTTGGCGTGGCCTCAGGTAAACTTTTAGGTTTTCTTGCTTCTAACAGGGGTATTGAAGTAAATCCTGCATAGATCAAAGCTATTGAAGAAATACCAGACATACTCACGAGCAAGAAAGAAGTACAAAGATTAACAGGTAGTGTAGCAGCTCTGGGAAGATTTATATCAAAGTCATCAGAAAAATGCTTTAAGTTCTTTTCAGTATTGAAAAAGCAAAATCAGTTTGAATGGACTGTCGAGTGTCAACAAGCTCCGAAGGACTTAAAGGCGTACCTATCAAATCCATCTCTGTTAGCAAAACCAAAAGACGGAGAGAGGTTGCTCATCTACCTCATCGTGTCAGAAGTAGCGGTAAGCGCGGTATTGGTACGTGAAGATAAAGGTAAACAATCTCCAATTTATTATGTTAGTAAGTCTTTACTAGATGCTGAGACACGATATCCTCACCTAGAAAAACTTGCTTTAGCTTTAATTATGGCGTCTAGAAAGTTACGACCTTACTTTCAATGTCATCCTATTTCTGTTATAACTATTTTCCAACTAAGGAATATATTGCATAAACAAGAATTATTAGGTAGGTTAGCTAAATGGTCTATAGCACTTAGTGAATATGATATTATATATCAGCCTAGAACCGCTATAAAATCTCAGGTGTTAGTAGATTTTGTAGCAGCTTTTAGCTCAAGCTTAGTTCCTAAAGCAGAAAAATAGCTACGAATATTTATCGGAGCTGATTCGGGGACTTGGACCTTATTTACTGACGAATCTTCAAATGTTAAAGGAGTAGGTTTGGGGTTTGTTTTAATTCCATCCTCGAGAGAAGTCGTAAGACAGGCAATAAAATGTTATCCAATTACTAACAATGACGCAGAGTATGAAGTTGTGATCGCAGGTTTGGAACTCGCACGAGAGCTTGGTATTGAACAAATTGTGATCAAAAGTGACTCGCAGGTAGTAGTCAATCAAATGCAGGGGGACTTACGTGGCAAGAGAGATACAAATGCAGCAATACCTCGAAAAGGTACGAGAATTGCTTAGACAATTTCAAACATTGAAAGTTGTGCAAATACCCAGGGAGGAAAATGCAGAAGCAGACGCATTGGCAAATCTCGCGTCTGTCGATGATGCAACAGATGTAGAAAATGTTGTTATGGTACATCTGTTTCATTCAATACTCGACCAAACCAAGAGTGAGGTAATTTCAATAATTTAACTTGGGATTGGAAGATGAATTTGTAAACTTTTTGCAGTATGCTATTCTGCCTGAGGATAAGAAGAAATACTGATTGTTACGGTTGAAAGCTGCTCAGTATTGCTTAATTCGCAAAAATTTGTATCACAAAATGTTTGGTGGACCTTTAGCACGATTCCTTGGACCATCACAAAAGGAATATGTAATGAGAGAAGTACACGGGGGCATTGTGGCAATCATTCCGGGGGAAGATCGTTGGTGAAGACGTTAATAAGGGCAGGATATTATTGGCCAATAATGAAAGAGGAAGCAGAAAACTTCGTAGCAAGGTATGATAAATTCCAAGGATATGCTAATAATATGCATCGACTTGCGGAACTATTGCATTCAGTCTAATCACCATGGCTCTACATGAATGGGGGATGGACATCGTAGGGCCTTTGCCTCAAGCTAAGGAAAGGTACGATTCTTGTTGATTCTAACGGATTATTTCTCGAAATGGGTAGAAGAACTTACCTTTAAACAGGTGCTAAAAGGAACTTATGAATTTCATTTGGAGTTTGGAGATCGTCTGTGACAATGTCCCACAATTCATAGGTGCGAAAGTCACCGATTTTTTTCCATAGTTGGCAGATTAAATGAATCACGTTTGCACCTTACCACCTAGTGGCACGGGCAAGCTGAGTTGAAGAATAAGGTTATCATCAACAACATAAAAAAGTGATTAGAAGAATCAAAAACCAAATGGCCAGAAGTGCTACCAGGTGTGCTATGGGCTTACCAAACAACGGCAAAAACTAGTGCGGGCGAGACCCCATTTTCACTCGTGTACGGAACGGAAGCTTTAATTCCGGTGGAGATAAGTGAACCAAGCACGAGGTACACACATATTACTGAAGCAACAAATGAGTAAGAGCTGCGAGTAAATTTGGATTTGATAGAAGAAAGGAGGGAAGCACCATTAATTCGGATAGCTGCTCAAAAGCAGATGAGGAAGAGCTAAGAGTAAATTTGGATTTGATAGAAGAAAGGAGGGAAGCACCATTAATTCAAATAGTTGCTCAAAAGCAGATGATTGAACGATACTATAACAGGAAGGCCAACTTGAGGTACTTCAAAATTGGGAACTTCATCATCAAAAAGGTGTTCCGGTCAACAAAAGCGGCAAACATAGGAAAGTTGAGTCCAAAAAGGGAAGGCCCGCATAGGGTTAGAGGCATTGCTGGAAAAGGAGCATACGAGTTGGAAACCATGGATGGCAAGGTGTTACCATCACATTGGAATGCATTCCATTTGAGAAGTATTACTTCTAAAAGAGGCTAATACCCACGGTCAGGTATCATGCAAGTTCGATTTTATTTGGTTCATTTGAATTTTACTAACCATTTTAGGTGATAGGCAAAAAGCTGGCCGGTACCAAATGATGATATTAGACCCAAAAGACATGAAGAATACTAAATTATTCCAGGTCTAGGTTACGACATTTCTGATAGCAAAAGGGTTATGCAGTCATCATCTAAAAGATTATCTCTAAGTCCCGTATGTATTTCCCTTTTTTAAGGAAAAGGACCAAACGTAAGGAGTTGATCCAGTGTTGGAGATCTCATGCTTCAATGCTCTAACAATGGGGGGACTATGCATATAGAAGGATACACAAGGAAAGAAGATGTATACCAAGAGCATAGTTCATCCAGAATCAAAACCTTGAAGAAACCCTTGAAGAAAAAATTTCAAAGGTGTTCAAACTCGCAAAAAGGATGAAAAATATTCCCACGAGCTTCTAGGCTAAGGCCATAAATTTAGTCACAGGAAGAAATACCCGAATTTGTAAACCTGCTAAAAAGAAATCAATTATGAAAATGTTGTACAAACTTACTTATTTGAATGTTCAAAAAATAAAACTTCCTCAAATTATATCATGATCATACTAGCCACGGTCACGATCATCCTTGCGGCTGACTAAAACCCTTTTGCTTCCAGCCATGATAGAAAAGATACCTTCACGAAATAGTTTTGGAGAATAAAGGTGGATCAAGTGACGGAAGGTAAAAGGAACAGAAACCAAATCCGACAAGTAGCGAAGGCAACAGCTGCCCTCCACATGATAGGACCAATTTGACCGAGGCAAATATTGTAATAGCGACAAAATTCTAATAATCACTGGGTAAATGGGAGGTTTAAACCCGAAAGTGAAAGGATAGGTGTAAAAAAAAAGAAAAACCAGCATGGTAAGAAGTGATTCTTTAATTAGCACCAGGAATCAAAATTGAAAAATCCAGTTTCCAATGGTATTCACGTCAACTAAAGAAAGAAATCCCTGAGTGATTAAACTTGGGTAGTTCAGCACGGTTAAGAGATGCTATAGAAGAAACTTTTTTTTTCATAGATTCGCGGTCTGATACGAAAGAAAACTCCTGAGGGACAATCTCAAAAACTGTAGTCTCACGTATGGGTTCGTTCTGAGAAGAAGATCTTGGGGTTAAGGGAGCGCCCTAGAAGAAGATGGTTTGACAATACTACATTGGGGAGTAGAACTACGAGTAGATAATGAACCTAGACTACGGAGTCTGCCACCTCTCCTACTCTTAGTAGGGGCAATAGAAGGAGCAAGTTCACCAACAATAACCATTTTACGAGGGTCTGGTGTTGAAGAAGTCATCTTTAACAAAGGAGATACAGAAAAAAGATGAAGAAATATCGGGAAAAGTTAGAGAGATGAATAAAAAGAAGAAAGAAGAGATTTTCAAAATCAAGGACGAAGAATTTATAAGGAAAAGCAACTGTCATCGGGGTTGATCATTATGAAATGTCATCATGAACCGTCACTTCGTGACTGATGCAGTCGCAGAAAAACCCTAAAAAAGCACTGAAAATCACAGAACCAATCATGGTGAGACATGTGTCTTGAGCATTAAATGGACGTGGCGTATGACACATCAGTTCCAAAAAAGACATTATGATACTCGAGAAATAGCGGTAAGGAATTCCCGCCATAAATACTTACCACTTTCCGAATATTCAGAAAGTGGGGAGACCATCTGTATTGGTGGAAAAAAGGCATGACATGTGGACTACCATCAAGCTGACAAGGCATGACACGTGGACTATCAACAAGGTAACAAGTGGCATTTCCAATTAGACGAATTAAAGAATTCAAGAAGGCACAGGTGAAACACCCCCGGGCTTTCTCTGAGAAAAGAACCGGCTCTGACAGCTGGAAATGAAGAAGTAGGAACGGAATGGATAAAGACCATTAAAGAGGGAAGATGCACGAATCTATTGTAAACAAGGAAGGAAAATCGATATTAATCGTGGTTACGGGAAATCTTCAGTCATAAATGCTAGTTACAATTATATATGGTAACGGGTAATCAAGGTAATTAATGCCATTAACAAGTCCGAATTAAGTATGAAAACCGTTATATTTATGTACTCCTATATAATGGTCATAGTCCTCATTTGTAATAGTATCTGATTTTTATTGAATATATGCAATTATTCTTTACTTTATTCATAAGGTTCCAACCGCAATTCTAGGAGAGATTATCTAAGGATGGCAATTAGGGCAGGACGGGGCAGGGCAAACCTTAAATGGGGCGGGGCAGGGGAAAATTTTAATGGGGCGGGGCAGGGGAAAATTTTAATGGGGCGGGGCAGGGCAGGGCGGGCAAAATATTATTTTTGTCAAATTTTAATAGGGCAGGGTAGGGCAGGGCACATTAGCCCATAGCATAACCCAAAGCGTCAGATTTTGAAAAACCTTATATCCAACTTAGTGCTCTCTTAATACGAGATTGACCTTTCTTCTACTTTGAAAATATCTATTATCTAACACTTCCTATCTATTTAATGCTCCACTAAAAAAATCTCCCTTAGTATTAGAACGATTAAAAGCATGTATCAAAAAGTAAATTGTCCTCCAGTGCCTTCTGTGTAATATGAAAATTCACTCAAAACATGGAAGTGAGAATGTGAGATCGGGTCTATTTTATTTTATTTCACGCAGTATGAAAATTGATATTAACAAATTTCAAAATTACTGAAATGAAAAATAAAGAGAAAAAAAATAAAAGAGAGCTAAACGGGGCAGGGTGGGGCAGGGCTTAATAGGGCGGGGCAGGGCAAATTTTTTACAAAAGGCTAAATGGGGCAGGGCAGGGCGGGTCAAAATTTTAGCGGGTCAAGGCTTGCCCTGCCCAGCCTTGCTCCAATTTATCAATCTGCTTTGAATTTTCTTTCCTTGTCAATTATTTCCATTATTTGTCTTATTCTTCAAATTATTGAGAAATTGAAGTAAATTTTGGTTATCAATAACCTGATTTCTTCTTGATATTGACTTTCATCGAGAAATCTATTTTTTGGGTAAAACAATGCGGTGCCAAATTTAAAAAATAAATAGCTAGCTACTGTTTCAAAACTCGCCTATCTTTCTTTCTTTTTCTTTCCATAAGACTCGATAATACAAAGCTAAAGCTTCAAACTTTTCAAGGGTTACGTTGTAAAACAAAATATGAGGTCTGTTTCTTTTTAAATTAATACATGACGACATGTCTTCTTCCGATATTTTTTGTTAAGTCGTATATTTCCAGGACGCAGTAAACAAATAATATTTTGACTTCTGTGCTTTGAGAATAAAATAAAAGATTAAATTACATTTGAAGTAATGAAAGTAGGTCCCATAAAATTATTTTTGCAATATTAAATGATTCATCTAAGAAAAGTAAATGATCCTTTGAAAGAACTTAAATAAGCTAGACAAATATGATGGGTACCGCGAAAGAATTTAACTTTACCACTTTCTAGTTATTACTGTTCTTTGCTTATGTAATTCCTTTTTCTCAAATTATTTTTCGTGTTATCTTTTATACGTCCCTCAAGAAATATTAATTAAAAAAGCGATTAGACTATTTTATCCTTATTTATGTCTTAAGATAAAATCTCTCTTAATTGAATATTTATTCTGTTTATGTGTTATCTCCATCTTCAAGAACAATTATTACTAAGGGTAAAAAAAAGAAAAAATAATCAATTTTGTCTTGAACTTTTAAAATGACAAATAATTTGAGACAACTATTTTTAGTAACAACGACTGATAATATGAGACGGAGGGAGTATCGTTTTACTTTTCTAGGAAATTTGTGATATATGTAAACTATGGTTATCCATTTATGCAAATTTTAAATACTGCAGAAATGCTTCATTGTTTCCCTAGATGTCTCGGTCTGAATCAGTGTCTAGCAGTCCTTTGGGCCACAATTAATATCACGATATACACAACGAATTACTAGGTTTTGATTTTTAAGCAATCTTTTTGGTGGGATATTAAAAAGATAACAAATTTCTGCAACCAAAATGCTGGTCTTACACGAAACTAGACTGGAAATAGTTATTCTTCCAAGAATCTAGTTGAAACCAGCTATATGAATTCTCAATATCCGTTACTCTTTAATTTGAGTGTATACGGTCAAAATCAGAGGCCTCCGATTTATAGGCTCGAAGGTCTATCCTAGGCCCAAGTCCGAGCAAAGTCGAGTTCGAGCCCGCTGGACCAGATTCGAGCTCGAAGACAGAGTGCAATGCTCGAGAGATAGGAGTACGAGGAGTGCCAGGGCTAAGTATACTCGACCCCGAAATAGTACCGTCATGGATTTACAACAGAATGAGCTAGATTCCCGCCACGTCCTCAAAATCATGGCGCAAATCCCGGAATAGGATCATACAATTCCGTACTAGACGGTTAGACAGTTGTACCAAGAATATTCCTTACTGTAAATAGAAATATACCTTATTTAGAGTTCCCCTATTATATAAAGGGGACCCCAATCATTTGTAAGGATCATCTAATCATTAAGGAAAGAATATACTCTCTATTTTTTGCCTACTGCTCATCAGAATTGTCCTTTAGCTCTATTGCTCTTACTTTACTTTTCTTGCTTGATTGTTCTTATTGTTCCAAACCCACCTCGAGGTCACTAAGCTCAAGGTCACTATTGCTGAGTTACATTGGTTTGATTCACTTATTTCTTTCACTTCTAATTTATATTTCTTGATTATTAATTGGTGTTGAATCTAATCACGTATCTTTAAAATCACAAATCAAATTTAATTGTTACTCGTATTTTTGAGGTAAACAGTTTGGCGCCCACCGTGGGGCTAAAGATAATAGTGATTGTTTCTTTATTGATTCTTATTACACGTTATTTTTACAGTTTTTCCTGTCAAGAATTTTTGATTCTCAAGCTGAAACATATCTAGCTCACAAAATGAACTTGTTCATGACAACGAAGGTCTTGGTGAAAACAACAATGTAGGGGTCGGTGTAC